GATAGATAGATAGATAGATAGATAGATAGATAGATAGTAATTATTGTACTGTGTACACTTGTGTGATGACCTTTCTTTAAGTCCGACTTCTACAACGCTCTCTCTCTTACACACCCACACACATAAGCAGCGCAGGTTCATTATAGATTCATAGGTAGCAACATGGCCCCAACCCCTCCTCACCAAGACATCATAAAGGTCAAGTTCATCTTCGTCAGTATTCTCTCTTTGTCTCCCTTCCTCTCTCCTCAAAGTCTCTGGGGGAGCTACCGCAAAACAACACCAGCCTGTTGGTACAGGAAGCTGTCGATGCATATTGTTTATAGCTATATGTACATACTGACGCCTGAGAACGCAGCCACAATAATATGAATGTTTCCATATTATGGCATGTTTTCTTTGGGTATAGCATCTGCCAATTAAATATCTAATTCTGGTTAACAACAAGCCGACTTCTTTACTGGCTTTTGAAAGCATCGGCTTCGTAAATGTTTCAGGTGAAAGTGAAGTGGATTTTATTGTTCCACAGAAAGACATGCTGTATTTAATATTTATGTACTCCAAAGAAATATTTTTAGATAATAAATTCTGCATTTCCTTACTTAATTCAGAGGTTTTTGAACCTGAAAGCCACAGTTTAATTCAAATGATATTTGCACATAAATTTTTAAAAAGCATAAATTATTGGTGCTGTTTACATCCATCCATCTATTGACTATACACTGAAGAAAATTATTTAATTGAACCAACTTTTAAAAAGTTACTCTAATTTGTTACAGCCTATTTTGATTCATTTTGACCAAGCTTTTATTGTAATTTCAGAATTATTCAAATAAGAATTAAAGCTTGATCAATAAATGAGCTGTAACAAATTAGAGTTATTTTTACAAGTTTTGTTCAAAGACAATTTTTTTTTGTGGACACTGAAAAAAAAGAAAGGAGCTTCAACTTAAAAAAAAAAGTTGATTTGTTACATGTAATTGAGACTTAATTTATTTACATGGCAATTTAATAAACTTAATACATTTACATGGATAAGCTTAATTTGATTACTTAACAACTCTTATTTTTTTTAAAGTTGGATCTCCTGTTTTCTTTTTTCAGTGTACTCCCATACACACAGGGTTCAAGAGGCAAGAGGCAAGGTACACTCTATTCAGTCCGTCTAATCAATAATTGTTATTATCTTTTTATTATGTTTCCCAGAAACCGATAGTCATGGGTAAACACTCGGACAGTGATTGGTCAGAGATGAGGACCAGTGCTGGAACCTCACATGAGCCACCAAGCCCAGACGTCCTCTCCATGGGATCGCCGGCCTCCAACAGGACACATGGTAAGAAACTATTTAATATCTGCAGCCAATGTTTTGACTGCATTTTGTTTTGATCAGATGAATCAAGACCTAGTTGTATTTTTCAACTGCTCGTCTTAGGAAGGTAATCAGTAAATTTGCAGATATTTCTGTATTTGAGTCCTCAACTACCTCAAGAAATAATTTAATTCTAAATAAATCTGTTGGTCTAATTAAAAAAAGAAAAAAAAGAAAATCAATTTTCTGAAGCTACATTTTTTCAGACGATTTTGCAAGGAATGCACGACTACAGAATTTCAAAAAGTATTCACAGCCAATTGAAGTTTGCCAACTTTTGTCACATGACTACTTGTTTGCGAGAAATTACCTGTCCTCTCTGAGCGAGTGACGTTTCTCCAGGTTATCAATAAGCAGTTTGAACCAGTTGTTTCGAGAAATGGTTGACAAAATGTTAAGATTTGTGTGAGAAATGTACCAAAGCAACGTAAAATAGAAACCAACACTGTAAGGATTTATCTCTTTCTGTCTCCCCCACCCCCATACCCACCCTCGTTCCTTCCTAACACACACACACACACACCCACACACACACACACACACACACACACACACACACACACACACACACACACACACACACACACACACATCCTCTCTCTCTCTAACACACACTCACCAGCTCCTGGATGACTGACGGCGGAGGAGAGTGACAGGGAGGATGTTGGAGCGGCGGCAGCGGCTGTTTCGGTCCTGCCAGCGTCTCTGCCTGTGTGGACATTGGCTCCTAAATGACTTCACACCTGTTCAAAGGAACAACAAGGCTAAGAGGTGAGGTCGCCATTGGCATGTGTTTTGCTTCAGGTACGTCGCGTATTTACAGCCAGAAGGGACGTCGAGCTTACCTGCGTATCGCTCGTGCGCCTCTTCTGCTTCTTTAATTTTTATCTTTCATTTCATACAAACAGCGACTTGGATTTATTTTTTATTTAAATTTTTTTTTTATCTAGCGGAGTTTGCTTCTGTTGTATCCGGGTAATTCGTGTAATAACTTATCAGTCCCTTTCGTCGCAAATCTCCCACTTTCTCTAATTGATGTCATTGTAAGTTCAAATCGATAGGGGCGCTGTTGGGCACATCTCTATACCTGCAATAGAAAATTAAAAAAATAGATAAAACTGAATCAGCTTAATTACTCCTTTTTATAATGGGCGCTCATATTTTTTATTTTTATATATTTCCATGTACTTTTTGTTTACTTGTTTCCTGCTTTCTCCTCTGCAGGAGAAAGCGGGAATTCTCTTCCTGCTTTCTCCTGCAGAGCAAGAAAAAGCTGCAAATATATCTGCCAGATATTATATTTTCCCTTTCAAAAGAATCATTTCATCCCATACATTCAAAACATGTCAACACATACACATTGACATGTTTCTCACACATTAGTGTATATGCCAAGTTGATGTGACTGTCAAAGCCGATTTGCCTGGCGCCCCATTTTCCTTATGTGGGATAATAAAAATTCTGCACTTTTATTTTACATTAATACAATCTTTATTGATGCATTGTTGCCCAAGTCAAATTGTATAATTCTTGCATTATTTATTTCTGTTATATTTATAAAACATCTATGAAAATGTCAACCAACCTCTGACCCAATCAATACTGGAGAAATGCACCATAGAGAATATATAAAACTTTTTTTTTTTTAACATTAATACTGACGTTATGTAGAACAGGTGAAACTAGCTGTGTTACAGGTATATATGAATGACCAGTGGTGAATAATTACATTTTAATTGCTGCCCATGTTGTGACTACATATTTCAAAATAAATAACTGTAATTACATCTGAAACCATTGGAAATGTCAATATACTGATGGTTTAAATGGTTTAATTTTAATAATCGTGAAAATATTAGAATTTTCACCCTGGGTAGTTTGCTTAATGCTGCTTATTATGATACAATATTACAAAGTCTGACTGAGTTTTATTTTCTGATTACATTTTTATTCTTTTATTAATCCACACTCAAATGAGGATCAATATTTGTAATTATTTAAACACTGTATCATTGTTTTTATGCTATTTTAAAAGAGCAGAAACATTTGGTTAAAAAAAAAGCACAAAAAAAAAAAACAAAGCACAAAAAGATCATTTCTGTGTCATGCATTTAGTCATCCAATTTGACCAATCCTAAATCTGCTTTTAATTTACTCAAAGAACTTAACAGGGGACGTATTTAAATATGAGAAATTATTTTGGTTATATATTTATTTTATTTCTTTTTTTAAATATCCACTTTAGTTATAGAGTGGGCAATAAAAAACAAATGTAATCTCCAGGTATTTTTGAAAAAACTAATGTTAAGTAGAATTGCATCAAGTCAGTAAAAAGAGATTCATATTCAAAAGCAAACAGTGCAGCTGAATCCATCCATCCATTTTCTAACTCCCTTGTCCCTAGGGGGGTCAGGAGGTGCTGGTGTCTATCTCCAACTAAAACCCTGGGCGAGAGGCGGGGGCACCCTGGACAGGTCGTCAGTCTGTTGCAGGGCAGCACAGAGTAAGACAGGACAAAACAACCATGCACACAAACTCACATCTAGAAAATACAAAATTTTGATTTTATTGTCTGCCCTTTGTCAGACAATTCCAGTTGGTAAAATAAAATCTATTGAGAAAAACCAACAGATTTATCATCCTAAGCAAGCATGGGGTGACAGTGGAGAGGAATAGCTTCATTTAAAGTTGCATCATGTAACTTTTATTAGGAAAATTATATTTTTTACATGTTTGTTCAAAGTGTCACTGTGCTGCAACAGTTTGGTACAAGACAGATAATCTGTTACTAAATGAAGCTCCGGCATCTTCTCCCAGTGCTATTATTGCAATCTCCAGAAATACTGGTTAAAAACAACCAATCATAGCCAGAAGGAGGTCTTAGAGCTGTTAGTCAATCTTGTCACAGGCTGCTAAATCCGCTAATGGCAGAGAAACAGCTTATTGTCAGCTGATGCTGACAATAAGCTATGCTATGCTTACTAGCTTAAGCATTCATGATAGGTGCTACTGTCAGGAAACACTGACAAGTTGGACTGTGTGAGTAGTGCACGCTCAAGCTTGATTGACAGCTTTAAGACCCTCCTCTTGGTTCTGATTGGCTCTTTCTTACTGAGTAGTGTATTTCTTCACTGGGAGAGGACAGTGAAGTTTGACTTTTTTCACAGAATATGTCTCTCATACTGTATAATATAGCGAGTTTTAACAGATATGTAAAAGATCAATTTTTAAATAAATGTTACATATGGCAGCTTTAAAATATTTGAGTAGAGCAATCTTTAAATAAAAAGCTTTTTTTGTGTTTTTTATTAATACTTTTAATTTTGTTCAGATTTTTATGCACATTTTACGGGTGGGATGCTGTAAGGGAATGTAACTCAATCTGTGCAATTGAGTTACATGAGCACCATAAAGAAGGGATATAATTTCTTACTCTGTATGTATGTTTTACAGTTATAAAACTCAGTTTTAAGTAATTGTTTTTGCTTCAAAACTAAGTATAAAAGAGCTGCTAGTTCCTGCAGGTTCAGTTCTGGACATCGCTCGGCTTCCTGCTGTCCCTGTGAACGTTCTTCACAGTTGGCGTGCTCGCACGTACTCCGTCCCTCTCTGTATTATTGCTCTGAAACTAACCACCATGGGGAGTTGAGGGCAAGGCGACGGGATATTTTTGTTAATGTTTTATTCACTGAAATCGATCCATATGCCGCGTTTCGGAGCACCGTGTTCACGCCAGTATCCCCAATGCAGCGGACCACGGGGAACGGGGTTTCAGAGACGGTAGGACGGACACTTTTGGGGGGAAAACACGGGACGTTAACGCACCTAGCTTCGGAAGCTAACAAACTAGCTAAGAAGCGAAGCTAGCTGCTTCTGCCGCCGCTGCTGCAGCTGCTGGAGTGGAAAGTGTGCCATCGCTTTCTTGTTTCTTTTGATGTTACATCAGCCGGTTTATGTCGGGCGTATTCATTGGGAAAGTTGGTGTTGCTTTCGCAGGAGTTTTCTCTAAGTCTAAATCACGCTTGTGTTGAAAGTGTTGTTGCATGCAGGCCCGTCTTGTGTGGCTGTGGAGTTTGTTGCTGTACCCATCCCCCAACCGTCTTTTGCAGGCCAACATGAATGAGATTCTCACTTCAAAGCTCTGGCATCGCTGGTGGCATTGCTACGAGGCTAACTAGCTGTCTTAGCTTCTTAACACTAGTTGATTGTTTGAGAAATGTCGTTTAACTTTCCGAAGAATGAGCTACACCGGCTCTTAGCGCTGCTCGGCGAGTTTAATGGTAAACAGACAGCAAGAACTTAGCAATAAACCTCTGCTTTGAAATTTGCATACACTGTTCTCAGTTGTATTTGGTCCCTCGGGAGCTTTGCTTTCAAGTCGCAAAACTTACAGTTGCTAGCTAGTTTGTGGGGCGAATCAGCCGAGCAGAATTTTAGTATTTAAGCTGCTGTTTTGTATTCAGTCTCATTTTTGAGTTTTTTTTTCTACTCCAACTAGGTCTGATAAGATTTAGAAAAGAATTGTCCGCCACTAGAAATGGTTGTATTTAATAGAGCACTACAAGCAGCTGTTGGCGTTTTTTAAATTAAAGTTGTATGGCAAACTGTAGCCTCTCCTTTGAAGAGCAATAAAATAACTTATTGCTCTTGCATTCTGTCAAAGTTCTATGTGTAAATGAAATGGGACAACTGAAATGATCAATTCAGTTTTTGGCAAATGATTAGCTTGCAGTAGTGATTTTATTTAGTCAAGGTAGAATGTGATATGAAACAAAAATACATTTGACTTCATCATTAACAGGATGGTAAGAAAGAACAGGTTGGTTATGTTCTAAATATGCTCAATTTGCATTATGGCATTGAAAATTCTCAAAACTGCTAACCACTATGGCACATTAAAAAGGTTGCTTTTAAGGGATGATGCAGTGTCAGTTTCGAAATCACAAAATCTAGTGGATGACAAACAGCAGCCGAAGCACTTCGATACTGATGAGCAAGACTGGAGGGTTTATAAATTCAAAATTGTGTTTTATGTTCTGCAGTTTACTTTAAAATAAAAGCAAAGTGGTGACCCTTTATTAAATAGTAGAAGAAAATTGGCATAATTTCATAATTTGTTTTCGTTATTGCTTGGAAACATTTAGCGTTCGGCTGTCTCTTGTCATGCAGTGTAACCAGAGATGCCATCATATATTTTATACATGACATTATGTATATCATATGTTATATTTGGAGATTGCTTACTATGTACCAGGCTTTAGAAATTTAAGATAAAACCAGAAATAGGTCATGGCCAGTAAAAGCCCGATCAGTGCAGCTGTATTTAAAACCTAAGAGTTTTGTGTATTAACGTCAATCAGTTTACAGGTTAGACTCAAATCAGACTATTTATCACTATTTGCTGCTTGGATACTGGCATGATGCTGCTTTTGGATAAAATTTATTGAGTGTGCTACATGTTTTTAAAAGCAATATAAACCTGGCAGAGTAGCCATGTTCTCTTTTTACGTGACAATCAAATTTTACGGGGGTCAAAAGGAACTTGAGTTGGTGTACTTTAAAAGTTAGAGATTATTTTGTCCCATTTCAGATTAATCCTACACACTCTCAGGATAACTAAGTATGTTTCCATCAGATTTGAAAGTTTTTATTTTGTAGATGGAAAGAAAGAAAAAAAGAGAGAGCAGACTACAAATGAAAATCTGTCTTTCGTCTTGTCTTGGGGATTGAAAACGAATCCAACCTGCTTTAGCTAATAAAAAGCATTTTCTACGATGGCCCTGCCAGGTTGTAAAATAATAAATCCAGCAGCTGTGTGATCTCTGTTAGTAACCTCTCTAACACAGGCGGTCTGACTCATGTGGGTTGAGATAGAGCAGTTAGTCATTCCTATATTTTTACAAGTTTACGTTTGTTGTGTCGAGTCATACTGCTAAAGCTGTCTTCGTTTTCCTTCCCAGGGTGAATTGTTTTCCAGCAAACTCACTGCTACAGAGGAAGGTCTGACCTCCTTCTTCTGCAACCAGAGACATGAGCGTTGTCAGAGATTTACATGGGGTCGGGTACAGGGGCAGCAGAGGCGTCATGGCCTCTCTGAACGGCCCCGCGCACTTCACCGAAGATGCCCCCAGGCCTCCCGTTCCTGGCGAGGAGGGCACTGATCTGGACCCGCCGGTCCAGTCGGGCAACAGCCGTCCGGGCGGCCTGTCCCAAACCCAGGGATATCCCTCTTCTAAAATGGGAGACCCTTCAAGTCACGCGCCTTCCTCTTCGTCGTCTGCAACCCCACGCCGGCCCGACCTGGACCTGGGCTACGAGCCGGAGGGCTCGGCGTCTCCGACTCCACCGTACCTGAAGTGGGCCGAGTCGCTTCACTCGCTCCTGGACGACCAGGATGGCACCAACCTGTTCAGGAGCTTCTTGTGTCAGGAAGGGTGCGAAGATCTGGTCGACTTCTGGTTTGCGTGCTCGGGCTTCAGGCAGACCAGCCAAGACAAGAGGGCCAAGTTGGCCAAGGCCATCTACAAGAAGTACATAGTGGACGGGAGCGGGATCGTTTCCAGGACGATCAAAGCGGCCACAAAGAGCTTCATCAGAGACTGCGTGGGAAAGCCACATCTAGACCCCGCCATGTTTGAACAGGTGATTAAAACACTGCATGCATTGTGGGTATTATTATAGAAAATTAAAGGGAGGGTGTAATGTGAAATAAACGTTTTTGATCTTTACATCATCTTACAATGTCATTCCCCAAACAAAAACATACCTGGAGTATGTATCACAAGCAACAACTGTAATTTGTTCAGTCTTTGCAATTAGGAGTAAAACAGCCAATGAAAAGTGAGTTATCAAGAAACTGACAAAAGCAATAGATAAAAGAAATAAACTGCAACAAACTTTGTTTCAAATTGTTCAGAAAGTGCAAATAGAAATTCTAAATATAACATTAAATGAATAATAAAGCATGACTTTGCTCAGAGCACAAAACAGTTAAACTGAATAGATCTGCCCTTCTGGATTTGGCACATTATCACTGATACGTGATCTATATTTTTTTTCCAACATCTGGATCGACAAAGATGATATCGAATTGATGCATCTCTAGTGGAGGATCTCCCTCGCTTCGGGCTTCCGGGTCCTGTGTGTGTGTGTGTGTGTAGGGGGCGAGGGGTTATGTGTGTGTGTCCGTACAGTTTCCCTCCTCTCATTGGGCAGCTTTGTTCTGCACTTTCTAAACAGACTCGAGGATGAAGTGTCTGGTTCAGTGACTAATTAGGCGGGGTGTGCAACTGTTTAGAAGTTTTGGAAGACCACGCTCTGCAAATTTATCGCTATGACAAAAGTGCAGTGCATGAGGAAGGACGATTTGTTTGAAATTACTACTGAATTTAGTTTATGAAGCCGGTCAGATTTCTGTTCTCCATTTCATTCTGAACAAATGAGAATCTGGAACCATGTGTGATTGGTGAATTTGTCTTTGCCTCAACTTCATTTTGTCCATAATTTTCATTATCAACATGCTGAACACTTTAACGTTATTATTTTGAATAAAGAAATTCTAAGAGCTTCCTTATTTGATTTTATATGTGCCGATTATAATATGTTAATTTTTATAAAATGCTGTCATATTTGACAGCATTTATAACAACTGAAGGCAACATAGTTACTTGACTGTGTGATAAAACGACACTATATGGAGTATTGGCCCTTTAAGACACTAAAATGAGCAAAAATCAAATGGACAACAGCTTTCTTTCTTTTACTACAGATGTCTGTAAAATGACATCTTGCTTGTCACCAATGATGCAACCTTTTATAGGGAGATTGCTTTCAGATGAAAGCAGAGCAGGGCTCTGAAGCTTTCTTTATGGCTCACTTGTCAAATGTTCTATTCTTGTCATGACAATTTTGTACACACCATTACAGCCAAGGGATTAGTTTGAATGAAGCTTTTGGAAATCATGTTTGTAAAAACAACAAACCACTGATCAAACAGTGGGAGGACTCTGAAGTCGCATAGTTTTAGAAGTGAAGCTGGATGACATTTCAGCCAATAACAATAATCATAATATTGTATAATGTTTAATCAATACAGAGGAAAAGTAGTCGAAATATTTCACAGTTTGAAATCAGTCACTGCTTGTTTTCTCGTTTTCACTAATCAAGTAATGAAAACAATTGGTGCATTCTGCAGATATTTTTTTTATTACTAAAGCTTATTTTATACAATATTAAAAATTTATACAAAATGCAAGTAAACAAATAATTAAATTCATTTTTATTAAATACAAGTATAATAAATATTTTAGTCTGTGTGCCCCAGTTATCAAATAAGCTATTACTAGATTAGTGGACAATAATCAAGTAATCACGATTAATGCAAATTAACTGTGTAAAATGAATACTAAAAAGAAGCAAAGACCAAACAAAGTACAGGGAGAGGAATCGTTCAGTTGCTATTTATTGTGATGAGTTTTGTTTGTTTTTTAATTTTAGCTCAATGGGGAGACTACCAAGTTATTTGTAAAACAATTAGAAGAAAGTTGTCGTGGCACTCTGCTCGAAACAGACTGCGTAACAATTTAATTAAATTTTCCGTTCTATGTGAACACACTTACCCTTTCTCAGGATCTCAGTAATTGGGTACTGACCTGAAAATTAATAGAAATAAGCCAATATGCAAGAAAGACGAGATGATTAATAATCAAAACCCTCAAAGTCAATTAGAGAAAACTTATATTTCTAAAGTAAAATATACCAAAATGTGAGATGAGTCATGACTTTTGATTTGTATTATAAATCTTATTACATCCTGAAACATTGTCTTGTTTTCCCTGATCTCAGACACAATTCAAGTTTTGTGTTAGACCGCTCCATCGTGATTCATATCAGCAACTTTGAAACAGTACAATATCAGTCATAAACTTGAATAAAAAAATAAAAAAAACAACCTTCTGTTCTAGGCTCAAACAGAGATCCAGGCCATGATGGAGGAGAACACCTACCCGCTGTTCCTTAAATCGGACCTTTACCTGGAGTACACCCGGACAGGAGGAGAGAGCCCCAAGCCCAATCCCAGCGATCAGAGTCCCTCATCGGGCCCGGCCAAGCCGCCGCCTGGCTATCTGCCGACTCTAGCTGAGGATGTGGAGTGGAGGTGAGAAAAAACTTTTAATCAGCGTTCAAATCTTCAGCTTTTGTCGTCTGGTTCTTTGAAAGTGCATATTCCAAAACGATGAATGATTTGTAAAATCATCTGCTGTTTCTGAGAAGCGTCGTTCACATTTTTGTATCTCGCCTACCGTGCCAAGGTACTACTTTAGAAATTTGACCCGTTCAGTAATGGTTGTTGATGCAGATGGAAACTTTTTTTAAAATTTGTAATCAGGGTACAATTATTACAGACATAAAGTTCTCACTATGGAAAATATTAAGAACAGTACAAAGTATAAATTTTTTTAAATAATCAAGCTTTTGTAATAACTAGAACACCATCAATCCAGAGACATTTACTGACAAGCCAACAATACTGCTCCCAAACTAGCTCTTGTCTAATTTATTTAACTTTGCTAAAAAAAGCAAGTGTTTGATGCAAGCATTTCAAATCAGTCAATATCCATAATCATTGATTAGTTTTTTGTTTTAAATATCTGAAATACTGCCAAACTGGTGACGTGACGTTTCATTTCTCTCCAAGGAGTTTTTTTATTTTCAAGCAGTTCTGGCAAAATCTGAAACTATTGGTGCACAAGCTGCTCAGCAGGTTGTTGCTAGGTAACCAAAGAGAGAGGGCGTTAGTTTAGCGTAGCTCATCGTGAGAGCTGGAGCGGCGAAGCCTTTTTTCTGCCCACGTCTCCCAGAAAACTGATAGGTGCTGGATTGGAGTTCAGTGAAATGATTGAACATTCTTTCAGATGTATTGCATATTGATATTGATCACATGTCTTTTGCAATATTTTCTTATTTTTTTATTGTCCAGCCTAGGCTCCATCCAGAAAAACAAACTGTCCAAACCTCCATTTCAGTTTCAACTCTGCAGTGGTTCAGAGGGATTATATCTCACCAACTACTATGAATACTTTAAAACTTGAAATATTTACTACAAGTATCTCTTTTAAGTAGAGACAGAAACATGTATAACAGATAAATACATTTTAACTCATGCCTTCAATCTTTTGCTGTGCTTTTATCTTCATTTGACACACCTGTTGTGTCAAATGAACACACACTTACACACACTGCGGTTTGTTTTCCGCACAACTTACTGAACGTTACTTAATGCCTTGCAATGCAGCCACTATGACTAGTTGGCACATGTAACATTAGCCAAAATAAATCTGTAACATGACAGATTATCACACATTTATGTAAACATTTTGACAACATTTTGAAAATGGACAAAAACAAAGCCTGTTGGCAACTATAGATTAGTTTCCATTTTTAGCTAAAAATGGTGCTTAGCATGGCACAGCACACATGCATCAATAGAGTAGCAGTCTGTGGAAGCGTTATGTTTTCATGCAACACAAATAACCTTCAAAAATCCCAATATTGAACTTTGTGGATAGAGTGTTTCAAGAAACACTGTAGTTGAAACTGAAATTTACACACACTTTACTACTTGGGGAAAGTTTGCCTGTTTGAATGCGTTTTCTTTACGTTTTAGAGGTGGAGCTCGAGAGGAAGAGAAAGATGAAGACAATTGCGGCGACACACCAGTGAGTAGGCTGACTCAAAGCCTGCTGATGCAGACGGCACCGCAGAGGGCCTCACCCAACAGGAGGAGGCAGGACACCAGGGAGTACAGGTGTGTGCTGCCATGACCTAATTAGCAGTAGCTTAAAGTTTGATGCCATAATCCGTTTTGTTATTCAGGCAAAGCTGAGGGCTGTATAGAAAGGTTTCAGTTGTGTTGTTTTGCTTTAGCTTAAAGAAAATTCTTGTTACACCTCTTGTTTCTGTTATGTAACTTCATATAATCCATTTAATAAGTCAAACTGAACCCTTAAAGAAGTGTGAACAAATGAAAAATTGTCAAACTAATATGTGTATTTTAAAGTTGCAGTATGCAACATTTGTTTTACATTTGTTGAAACATGGTATGAGACAAATGTGTGGGGGGGAAAAAAAGAAATCGAGCTCATCTGCCTTATCCCAGTGCAAACTAGAAACAACCAATCAGAGCCAGGAGGCGGGTCTTATTGCTGTCAGTCACTCTCCATGTGGTTCTGCTCATATGTCTAGCTTTTTTTTTTTTTTTCACATTTAACGATTCTGAATCTCTAATCTATTTAAAAGTGCAGCATTAATGTCAACATCCTGATTTTTGTTCTCAGACCTTGGAAAGAGCCGGTAAACCCTTACTACGCAAACATGGGCTACGCCCGGGCCCCAGTAACCAGCGCCAACGACAGTGAGCAGCAGAGCATGTCAAGCGACGCAGATACAATGTCCTTGACCGACAGCAGTGTGTAAGCATTTAATCTTCACTTCATTCACACCTTTTATCCATTTAAATGCATTAAGACCCATTTGCTCAGGAGAATAAAGTTTCCGTTTTTAATATTTTCCTGTTTTTTATTTGTGTTCCCAGAGATGGTATTCCTCCATACAGATATCGGAAGCAGCATCGGAAAGAGATGCATGAAAGTGCCAAAGCCAATGGCCGTGTGCCCCTACCTCATATACCTGTGAGTGTCTTTGCTTGTGTGTTAGCTAGAAATATAAATATATGTGGAAAATTAGACGCCTAAATCCTCCTCAGGAGTAAATTCTTTGGACTTTATTTATCCTAAGAAAATGCAGGCCAAATATATGTATCTAGGTGCATACAGTTATTTCAAAGATGGTAAAAATATGTTTTTTCTATCATTCCTATTATTTATTGTCACTTAAATGTGATTTTGTTTGCCTGTATCGATCAGAAAGTAATGCAGTGCTGCCCCTCCCCCACATGTTCCTAAATACTAGCTATGGAAGGCAGTAACACATTTCCCTTGTTTATAAGAAAGACGGACATATTTTCAATTAACAATCCTTCTAATACCAAAAGTTTTGAATTCAAGAAAGTAGGTGTTTAAGAATTTTTGGAGTTTTCTTGAATCTTGTTGTTGATTAAAAGAAAACAAAAACTTCCAATTCTCCATGTCTGACTCTGATTCTGATTGAATCAGAACACCTGAGTGATCTGGAAGGTTGATACAACAACAGCTGGTCTTTTAATCCATTTTGGTTCTAAACCATGCATTTAATTATAAACAAATGTTTTCTAAAGTCTTTTCTCTGCGCTTTAGGGACCTAATGCCATGTAACTATAGTAACTAATTTTATTATTGTAATAACCCCGAGCAAATGGCAGCATGTAGAGATTAAATATGTACCCCAAAACCACTCTTAAATTTACCAGGTGAAATTTTTATAAACTTTCTAGATGATGTCCTCTAAAAAGAACATCGTCATCTAGATGATCTGGGGAAAAAACCCCATCCCGTATGGGTTTTTTTTTTTCCTCGTCTTAATATTCTTACTCGGGAAGCAGAATGTAATTTTTAAAATGTGATATGTTTGCATGTTTTCTTCAAAGCGCACGTATCGCATACCAAAGGACATCCACGTAAAGCCGGAGATGTTTGCAGCAGAACTCATCAACAGGCTGGAGGCTGTTCTCAAAGATCGAGATGCCCAGGAAATGCTTGAAGAAAGGCTGAAGAGAGTACGACTGGTGAGTATTCAGATTGTAAACGCTGAGGAGGTCTACGTCAGAGAAAGCATGCATTTGGTCTTGCATTAGGGAAGTTGCAAGACTGACCAGAAACGAGTTTCACCTTGGAGTTTATCCTCTAGGTTACATCATGTGTGTTAGTGTTGGGTATTTCATCTAATGTATTACGTATGTCAAGAAATTGTTCAACTTTTAATATCTCCACCTGTCAAGAAAGACAATATCATGTTCTTATTTGACATGACAAATAAGAACACCTGACAAATTGGGTCTGAATTTCCATAGCAACCATTTCACATCTGCATCTAGTTTTACTGATGGCCCAGTTTCGCTTAGAAAACGATGCAGCAAGCAGTCGGTTTAGCAGGTGAGGTGAGAGGGAGCATGACTATGATAAAAAATGTAAAGTGCTGGTGTCAAGACGCCTGACACCAGCAAAATACAACAAAGGAAACGAGGAGTGTGATGACAAAAAGACATAAAAAAATCTGAACTTTTAACCAGCAGGCATCATGGATTTCCGCTTGATGCCTTCATATTGCCCGATTTGTGAAAGCTATATTTTGGTTGATGATCTGACGAAAAGTATAAGTAAAAAAGTCATTGGCACAAAGCAGAAGTCTTTGATATTTCATATTTTGCTATTGGTCTGATGAAAAAGTAAATGGAATTGCTGATGCCAATTGGGGATGCACCCATCCATTCTTTTCACTGTCGATATTGATGTATCAGCTGATGCATCTGATGTTTATCATCTGATAAATATCAGAATTTTTTTTGAAACAGATATAAATATACAGTATTATATTTCTGATAACGCTGCACACTTAAATACACCAATAGTTTCACAAGTTTGAACAACGTGTAAAAACAGCTTTCATTTGTTCAGTCTGTGCAATTAGGAGTAGGACAAGCTATGTTGAAAAATGGATAAAAACAAAAACGGTAGGTTGACTACGCTGATTAAACATGTATGTAAAAATAAACTGAAACAATCCTTTCAAATTGTTCAGAAAGTGTAATAAGAAATTCAAAATATAATCTCAAATAAGTGACAAAGCATTACTTTGCTCACAGCACAAAACATAGAATTAGACTAGATTTTGCTATTATGCATCAGGCACATTGTCACAATTTCTAGATGTTTTTTCCCCATTATCTGGTCTGAAATTGATATTAATTTGAGATCGGTGCAGCTCTAGCGCCAATACTGAAATCAATCCAAGTTTGACGAATCATCAAACTTTTGACCTTTTAAGTGTTTTTGTGGTTTTTCTTTTGAATGATTTTGTTCAAATCCAGGGTAGAATTTGGATGAAGTTAATTTGTTACATTAATAACAAATTAACATAATTTCTCTGCATTTTGCTTGAGTAAATAAAGTATAAAAATTATTATTTGAGAGTAGAGCGAACCAAACTCTGTTTTGAAGTATAGTTGAGAAACTACAATAAAAATATTTTTAAAATTTTCGACAGAGAATCTGAAACTTTAAGTCTTAATGTGGTACCGATACCGATGTAGTATCGATATATCGGATTGATCCGCCCACCTGCAGCATAAAGACTCATGGAAACATAAGGATTTGTCTCCGTTCCCAACAGGAAGAAGAGGGTGATGATGCCGACGTCTCCATGATGACCTCCATGTCTTCTCACAGCATACCACTTCCCATCCCCTCGTCGTTTCCACCTCTGTACGGGGCCCGTTATTCAGAGACCACTGCGAACACGGGAACAGCCACCACGTACGGCGGCCTGGTGGCCATGGAGGACGCTCACGAAGACGACCCCGAATCCATTTTGGACGAACACGTGCAGCGGGTGATGAAGACGCCGGGCTGCCAGTCGCCAGGGGCAACTAACAGCAGCTTAGGCGGCGGAGGACGGCATACTCCGCCCAAATCGTCACGCTCCCCAGACGGAGGGATCGGGCCGCCTCACTACCCCTCACACAGAGGAGGGGGACAGAGTCTGCCAACCGTGGGGGCCAAAGGTAAACCACCCAGGGTTCCAACACTTTATCCATTTTGTTTTGTAGGAAGTCTTGCTCCTCTGTTTGCTTGGATTATGTATTTATTTCAGGCATTTATAGTTTAAAATGAACATTTATATCCAATTCATTGAATACCCCAGTGCATTGCAACATGCTAGTGATACTAGTCACTGTTAGTCAACATGCTAATGATAGCCCACATACTGCCAAGTAGTGTTTACATGCTTGTTCCCCTGTATGTAGCAATAGCCCTCAGGCTAACAATAGCCTTACAGCTAAAATAAGCATCTTGACTAATTTTTTATGTAAAAGCTACATTTAGCTACATTTAGCATACTGAATGGTGTAAGTCAATGTAAATCCATACCCAAATGCTACTGACAACATTTAAACTAACCTTAGCATTCTAGCTAATTTTAGTAGATACAGTGTTGGCATAGTGAATAGAGTAAGTCCATGTTAGCCAACATGTCACTGATACAGCACCTGCTGTTGACTATATGTTAGTTCAGAATCAGAACGCTGGGTTCTGACTGACATGCACTTTGGCTGTCCCCAATTAAATTTCTTCAGAATTTTTCTGGTTTTAAATTATTTCATTAGGCCCGAGCAGCTAAGCGCTGCGAAGGCCTATTGTTTTCCTATTGTTTTATTATTATTATTATTTTTCTTCCCACCTCTTTGGGGGGCTTTTTGGGGCCTTATCATATTGGAAAACTCACCAAACTTGGCGGAGGCCTTAAGCCTGTTTAAAAATTTTGATTTTTAAGGTCATCACAAAAATCCCACAAGAAATGGCTCAATAGCGCCACCTAGAAATTTTCAAAGGACCTTTGCTATTCACTTACTTTATCCTAGAGACATGAAATTTGGTACACTTGTAGAGCTCCCCAAGATACTCAAAATTTACAATTAATGTCATAGTGCAAGTATCACAGGAAGTCAGCCATTTGGATTGAAGGTCCAATTTTGAGGCCATTTTTGCCATTTACAGCCTCCGTATTTGATCGAACTCCTCCTAGGGATTTCGATTGATCGGCTTCAAACTCGGTCAGTCTGTTCATAAGGCATGTCCCATCTAAAGTTATCAAAACGGTGAGTTTTTGAGTATGCTGAAGGGGGTTAGCAGGGGTCAAAGTTCACCTACTCGCCGTAAAAAAATAAACTGCTATATCTCCTACACAGAAACTCACAGAGGCACCAAAGTTTCTATGATTGATCATCATCGGGTGTCCTACAATACCCTATGGTCGAATGATGACATCACTTTGGCCACGCCCCCTGAGAACAGGAAGTGTAATGTTTTACTGTGAACTTTCACTATCTGACCCCTTTGACCTCATCAACATGAAACTGTGCCCAGACACAGAAGACATGTTGGTGTATTGAGGATTCCAACCCCGACCTGCTTTGATGGAGCAGGTGGGCGTGGCGGCGTGGCGAAGTGACCTCTAACGCCATCGCCATACGTTTGGCTCTCAATTCCACAATTTGAGGCCCAGCTGCTCCAAACTCACAAGGATGGATCCCCATCAACTCCCCGACAGGAATCCATCATAATATTTGGTGGGTGTGGCCTAATTTCTCTATAGCGCCCCCTAGAAAACTTTAAATGATCAGCCCCAAGCCATGCTTTAACCTACAATTACGAAACTTTGTACACATGTGTACCATGTCAGGACTTACAAAAAAGTCTCTTGGTGCCATGGTCTAAACCCCACAGGAAGTCGGCCATTTTAGATTGAAGTTCAAATTTTGACCCCATTTTTGCCATTTACAGCCTTGGTATTTGATCGAACTCCTCCTAGGGATTTCGATTTATCGGCTTCAAACTCGGTCAGTCTGTTCATAAGGCATGTCCCATCTAAAGTTATCAAAACGGTGAGTTTTTGAGAATGCTGAAGGGGGTTAGCAGGGGTCAAAGTTCCCCTACACGCCATAAAAACATGAACTGCTATATTTCCTACACACAATTCACAGAGGCACCAAAGTTACTGTGATTGATCATCATCGGCTGCCCGACAATACCCTATGGTCGAATGATGACATCACTTAGGCCACGCCCCCTGAGAACAGGAAGTGTAATGTTTTACTGTCAATGGTCGCTATCTGACCCTTTGACCTCATCAACATGAAACTGTGCCCAGACACAGAAGACATGTTGGTGTGTTGAGGATTCTAATCCCGACCAGCTACGATGGAGCAGGTGGCGTGGCGGCATGGCAAAGTGACCTGTAACGCCATCACCATACGTTTGGCTCTCAATTCCACATTTTTGGGCACAGCTGCTCCAAACTCACAAGGATGGATTCCCATCAACTCCCCGACAGGAATCCATCACAATATTTGGAGGGCGTGGCCTAATTTCTCTATAGCGCCCCCTAGAAAACAGCAGCCCATAGGTTATGTTGTTATTAATTATTTAAATATACATTATTATAACTTTTTATATATATATAAGTTTATTTTGTGGGTTAAAGTACAAACATTCATTCATTTTTGCTAGAAATAATACAAACAAAGTCATTCAGCAAAATTTATGACACAGCGAAGTAAGAACACACTGGGGTCAGTGTTGATGGAGTACCACTGGCACCTTGTGGCGATATACTGGTACTGCTAGTGCAATACCAGTATTGCCCCAGCAGGAGGCAGTGGTACTCCATCAATGAGAAAACAGATCGACGCTACGTAATAACAGTCAGCCGGCGACAGCTGGAGCTGCGAAGTTTTCCTGAACATTTTGCCTGCTCTTTGGAGCCACAGAACTGGACTACGCTCAACATTTTGCTTGGATTTTGGAGTTGCTAATCCGAACCACGCTTTTGAGCAAGAAGGCTCTGTTGGACCGGAGTTGGAGAAGTTTAAACTGAGCAACAGCTTCCGCGGTGCGGGCGGGCGCTGAAAACTGCGTGAGAGCTTCTGTGGTGGCTGGCGTGAGGCGGCGGTTGCTCGTACCCCGCGGTGGCAATAGGCCGGAGCGGCGCTTGGGTGCGAGGGCCGTTCGAGGCTGCTTGCAGCTTTAATTATTATTATTCTCCCTCCAAATGAATTGGCTTTTTGGGGGCTTTATCATATTCAAAAACTCACCAAACTTGGCGGAGGGCTTAAGCCTGTTTAAAAATTTTGATTTTTAAGGTCATCACAAAAATCCCACAAGAAATGGCTCAATAGCGCCACCTAGAAATTTTCAAAGGACCCTTTGCTATTCACTTACTTTATCCTAGAGACATGAAATTTGGTACACTTGTAGAGCTCCCCAAGATACTCAAAATTTACAATTAATGTCATAGTGCAAGTATCACAGGAAGTCAGCCATTTTGGATTGAAGGTCCAATTTTGAGGCCATTTTTGCCATTTACAGCCTCCGTATTTGATCGAACTCCTCCTAGGGATTTCGATTGATCGGCTTCAAACTCGGTCAGTCTGTTCATAAGGCATGTCCCATCTAAAGTTATCAAAACGGTGAGTTTTTGAGTATGCTGAAGGGGGGTTAGCAGGGGTCAAAGTTCACCTACTCGCCGTAAAAAAATAAACTGCTATATCTCCTACACAGAAACTCACAGAGGCACCAAAGTTTCTATGATTGATCATCATCGGGTGTCCTACAATACCTATGGTCGAATGATGACATCACTTTGGCCACGCCCCCTGAGACAGGAAGTGTAATGTTTTACTGTGAACTTTCACTATCTGACCCCTTTGACCTCATCAACATGAAACTGTGCCCAGACACAGAAGACATGTTGGTGTATTGAGGATTCCAACCCCGACCTGCTTTGATGGAGCAGGTGGGCGTGGCGGCGTGGCGAAGTGACCTCTAACGCCATCGCCATACGTTTGGCTCTCAATTCCACATTTTGAGGCCCAGCTGCTCCAAACTCACAAGGATGGATCCCCATCAACTCCCCGACAGGAATCCATCATAATATTTGGTGGGTGTGGCCTAATTTCTCTATAGCGCCCCCTAGAAAACTTTAAATGATCAGCCCCAAGCCATGCTTTAACCTACAATTACGAAACTTTGTACACATGTGTACCATGTCAGGACTTACAAAAAAGTCTCTTGGTGCCATGGTCTAAACCCCACAGGAAGTCGGCCATTTTAGATTGAAGTTCAAATTTTGACCCCATTTTTGCCATTTACAGCCTTGGTATTTGATCGAACTCCTCCTAGGGATTTCGATTTATCGGCTTCAAACTCGGTCAGTCTGTTCATAAGGCATGTCCCATCTAAAGTTATCAAAACGGTGAGTTTTTGAGAATGCTGAAGGGGGGTTAGCAGGGGTCAAAGTTCACCTACACGCCATAAAAACATAAACTGCTATATTTCCTACACAGAAACTCACAGAGGCACCAAAGTTACTGTGATTGATCATCATCGGGTGTCCTACAATACCCTATGGTCGAATGATGACATCACTTTGGCCACGCCCCCTGAGAACAGGAAGTGTAATGTTTTACTGTGAAAGGTCGCTATCTGACCCCTTTGACCTCATCAACATGAAACTGTGCCAAGACACAGAAGCCATGTTGGTGTGTTGAGGATTCTAATCCTGACCATCTACGATGGAGCAGGTGGGCGTGGCGGCGTGGCGAAGTGTCCTGTAACGCCATCGCCTTACGTTTGGCTCTCAATTCCACATTTTTGGGCGCAGCTGCTCCAACCTCACAAGGATGGATCTTCATCCACTCCCCGACAGGAATCCATCACAATATTTGTAGGGTGTGGCCCAATTTCTCTATAGCGCCCCCTAGAAAATTTAAAATGATCAGCCCCAAGCCATGCTTTAACCTACAATTACGAAACTTTGTACACATGTGTACCATGTCAGGACTTACAAAAAAGTCTCTTGGAGCCATGGTCTAAACCCCAGAGGAAGTCGGCCATTTTAGATTGAAGTTCAGATTTTGATCCCATTTTTGCCGTTTATAAACCATTTCAGTAATTCGTCAATTGGGGTCAGCAGATAATCAGGATGAAGAACAATATCAGTATTTCGCCAGTAGGTGTCAGTGTTCCTCCACCGATGATAAACAGATCCACGGGCGGATGGGCGTGAAAACTTTGTGAGTGTGTTGCCATGACATTTCTAAAAGGATAGAAATGTCTCAGATAATTTTTGTTGAATTAAATCATGCAGTAAATGTAGCATTTTCTTACTTCTTACAAACCATTTCAGTAATTCGCCACTCTGAGTAAGTATTACTCCAACAATAAAATAGAGTGCTTTAGAAACACAGCTGAAAATGATGAAAAATGACGAACTGTAGTACTTCGCTATGTGCATATGATCGGCTGTAAATGTCACGTGGATCATCCGACTGACGCCAAATTGGATACGTATGACCTTTGTTGACCTCTAAAAAGAACAACAGCATTGAAATATGTTTTGACTCCACTGCGCGTCCTACATTAATCCGCCAGCTATATTTCCTCGCTAAAGCAATGAATCTATACCACATTTTTTTGCATCGTCAAGGATAGCCGCCGAACGCATAGATGCGTACCGCCTGGTGGACGGGCGCGGAAACTGCGCAACAACTTCTGTCTTAGCACGTGCGCAGCTTTGATGAAAACTGAGCAACAGCTTCCGCGGTGCGGGCGGAGGAGCTGAAAACTGCGTGAGAGCTTCTGTGGTGGCTGACGTGAGGCGGCGGTTCCTCGTACCCCGCGGTGGCAATAGGCCGGAGCGGCGCTTGGCTGCGAGGGCCGTTCGAGGCTGCTTGCAGCTTTAATTTAGTTTCTTTTTCCCTAGTTATCAAATCCATTTGAGGAAGAGCCTTGTGTTGTGGCTAAAAGCACATCATTGAACCTTTCCCTGATTTATTTCCAGGCATTTACCACCATAAGCAGGTTTACCACAGAGGAAGAGATGGACAAGAGGAGACGGGAGGTCGGCCTCTGCCCAACCTGGTGTGGAACGGAGACCAAGCCAACCAGTACGCGGGCCGGAGAAACTATGCAGACGGAGCTGGAGCCAGCACCCTCGAGGGCATGGGCTACGGGTATGCATGCGCATCTGCTCACTAGTAAAATACTGTCTTTTATTTTTTATTCAGTTGACCTAGTAACTGCACCAATACAGCACACTTAAATACACTAATAGCTTCACAAGTTTGAACAACATGTGGCTTATTATGTTTTTGCAGTAGCAAAGGCAGCACAATGTCGCGGCGGGGCTTTAAGAAGACGGAGACATCGAGCAAAAGTGACGAGAACGGGCGTGGCCTGGAAACCCAGGGCTATCCGGGTACTCAGGTGGAGGATCTGGAGAGGAACCAGAAGATTCTGCAATGGATGATGGATGGAGACAGGCAAAGGAAGAGTTCTCATGGGTCAGGACAACCTTGCATTTAGTATAGATGGTATTTTATGTCAGTTTTAATGTATTATTGCTATGTGGTAACATCTAGCATTCATTCTTCTGTGGTGCTTGAGTTATTAGAAGGTTTGTACAGATGTTTGAAATTGAATGTAGAGTTTTGGAAAGTGCTTTTTTTCTGTCTAAGGTCCTTGAAAGTGCTTGATGTTGAAACTTTTCTTATTTTTATCTCATTTTTTGGTGCTGGAAAAGATTAAAAACCTTAAAAATCCTTGAGAGATAAACTGTACACACCCAGTTACCATCTCGCTCAGCTCTCTTCACCTCCCTGCAAGCTCTGAACCTGTTTCTCCATCCTCTCCCTCATGCTCAGCGGCAGCACCAGCAGCTCCAGGAGAACGGGAGCCAGCACAGAGTCGCCACGCCCGACCTCCGTGGAACGACCTGGAGCTGTGCACCCATGGGTCTCCGCCCAGCTGCGCAACAACTCCTCCTCGGTGTCCACGACGATCCCCGGCTCGTCGTCCACTCAGGTCCAGCCTTCGCACCCGTTCATCCAGGATCCGGCCATGCCGCCCAACCCCGCCCCCAACCCGCTCACACAGCTGGAGGAGGCGAGGCGGAGGCTGGAGGAGGAGCGGAGGAAGGCTGCTCTACTGCAGTCGAAGCAGAAGTACAGCTCGTCTTTTTGCTTTAACTTCAAGTCTTCTGTCATTTCAAGCGTTTGACAGGGATTGTCCCCCACTCTTTCTGTCAGACACAAGTCTGGGAAGCGGCAGGTTTGTGAGAACATGACTGTGGCGTACTACTTCTGTGGAGAGCCCATCCCATACCGGACATCGGTGAAGGGCCGCGTGGTGACTCTGGGCCAGTTTAAAGAGCTGCTTACCAAAAAGGGCCACTACAGGTGAGAACACACAGCACACACTCCATTTCAGAAGTATTCATACTTCTGAAGCTTTATTACTTTAATTTATTAAAGACTTTTTTTTCACCAGGCTAACAATGCTTAGCCTGGTGGCCTGCCAGGCTTATAATACCCTGGGGGAAACCCTGGAAATGGTAGTTTTCAAATATCTGAAATGTGTGGGGTGTGTTTTCATTCAGCACTTTTTATGCTGATATTCCTAAATAAAACCCAGTTTTGCACATTTCTCTCAGAAATTGACTTGTTTCTATATGGAATATAATGTTGGCAGGTGATCATGCAGGATTGTAAAGACTAAAAAAGGGATATAGCGTATTTTCCATACTAAATCTCTCTGGAGAATAATAATTCGAACTGTGCTACCTCGTTATATTTTCCTATTGTAGCCAGCGAAGTGCACAGTGGAGACGCCTACAGTAATTTCGAGTGATGGACTGATCAGAGGAAATGAGGCACTACAGACCAAAACTGAACTTTTTGGCTTGCAGAAAAAAAAAGATAAAAAACTGAGACTGGTCAAAGTTTTGTGCTACTTTGTTGGTTTTTCCAATAAAATTGAACAACCTTTGCAATTGAAAAAGTTTCAGCCTTACAATAGGCTGGCATTTTGTTACCATATGTGGAGAACAACGGATTCTCCTCTGATCTTCAGGTTCTACTTCAAGAAGGTGAGTGACGAGTTTGACTGTGGAGTTGTGTTCGAGGAGGTCCGCGACGACGACGCCATTCTGCCCATCTTTGAGGAGAAGATTGTCGGGAAGGTGGAGAAGGTCGACTGAAATTCTGGGAACGGGAAACGGAACAGATGACTTTCGAAACGAGGAGATGCGACACCTACGAGAAATTGGAACGTTGGCAAGTAGAAAGATGGACGAGTGATGTCTCACAAGGGTAGAAAAACACAGCATAGAACGACTGATGGAAGATGGGAATTCATGGATAAACAAATACCTGCCTGGATTAAAAACAAAGAAAAAAAAATTGGGTCAGATAATGCTGGAATGGAGAAAAGAACAAAATATTTTCCCTATGTTCTGTTCTTTACAGATCAACAAGGAGAGGTATATATTAAAAAAATGTCGATGGAAGAGGGGTGAGGGAACTTCTGGAAGAAAAAAAAAAAGAGAATGAAAGTTGTCTTCCACTTCTGCTCTAAAGGAGGAGCGCGTGTCCTCTGCAGACCATTACAATGCTGCTACATTACCACGGAAACGCTTCAGTTGGTGCTCAGGACGGCAGCTCGCCGTCTTCGTTCCTCGTCAGCTGGGGACCGGTGGGGGAGAGGACAGAAACAAAAAATCTGAACGTTTTCATCTAGCTTCTTGGTTTTTTTATTTTATTTTATTATTTTTATTTTATTTTTTACAATTTTTGCCTTGGTAGCTTCAGAACAGAGAGACGTACTCACCGCCAGGCGGGCCCAACGCGTTCCAATCGCTCACATCCTACCGTTCAGACGACAGTTCTCCGCCTAACTTGTTTACCAAAGCTACATATTTTGTTTTGGATAGGACAAGTATTCTAGCTACTTGTTATCATTTTATTTGGTTTGTATATGAACAAAGGCAGGTACTATTGCTTATTTACTGCATTTTTGTTTTGTCATATCACACTTTATATAGTATTATTGTGTATGTTTTGAAAATCACGTGGAAGCGGCGATGGAGTTTCTCGTCACTAAATCATAAAAGTGCCCCTTGTTTCCGTTGTTTCGATAGGATTCGTCTGCTCTAAAGTTTTTAGGTTTTTTTTGTTTGTTTTTTTTCCCCCTAACTCTAGATTTTTTTTTTCCTCCAATATGTTTCTCAAAATTCCCACTTTTCTAAAACGCCTCTGCATGTTTTTCACATCTGCCCCAGTTGATAGCGTCGTGTGTGTCACAGCGGAAGCTGAGGGAACATGCAGGGTGGGTACACATCGCTGTGTTTACAAGACTTTAGAGTAAGCTAATAGAAATAGCCTTTTTTTTATGTTCTCTGCTTTATTGGAATTCTCAGCAGTAGGTTTATCCCGGGTGCTTGCCTTGTCGGTGCCATTAGGCTCTTCAAACAAAGGAAAAAAAAAAAAAAAGCAAATTCTCAATCACATTTGCGCCTTTATCCATCTTTTATGTGATCTCTGCCAAAGAACATGTGTCCTGCAAGCTGACATGAGTGTCTAAGAATCATTTTTATCGTAACAAGCCGAAGGGAATGTTGCTCCAGTAGTTTAGCCAATCTAAAAAAGACAGTTTATTTTAAATAGAGATCCACTGATACATTTTGTGATCCATTTTGACCTCCGTTTAGTTTTTTTTATTTTATTATCACCAGTTCTTTGGGGTGCCAGTGGAACCAGTAAACTTTTGTTGATTTCAAAGAATAATTTACTTAAAACAAGCTCTTATGTCTTGCTGAAACTTCGTTTGTTTTATCAACTCTTTGCCAAAGTTGATTTCATATCAATTCTGATTTCTCTTTACAAAGTTTAATTATCAGCATGCAATATATATATATTTCTTTCTTTCCTTTTAGCCATGAGCAGTCACTAATCAGGTTGTTAGAAGTGGGGGGTGATGCGTGCACATATGTGGGTGGGTGAGCAAATGGGCACAAAAAAAAGTCTTTACAATTTAAAGCAAACAAACAATCACAGGAGAGACTTCAAGATATTTTTTCTTTATTAAATATCACGTGGTTACAACAAGAGTATTTGTTTACACTAGAGGTCTGGAGCGCCGCAGCCACTTGTGGCTTAAATCATCCATAATTTTGTCCAAAATATTAAGGAAGTGAGTGAGCAATTTTTTTAAAGGAAATAAAAAACAAATGCTAGCTTCAGCAGTTTTTCCCTAGGTGATGGGCTTCTTTCTTTTGTCGATGAATTCTGTTCAGCTAGGCTAAGGGCAGAAATGGCTGACCCAGGTGAATGTTGCTGACCACTGGCCCCTTTACCTGAACCAGAAGAGAGGTTCCTACCAAACTGGTTTAAGTAATAAACGGTGCCAATACCTGCTTGTCACCAGTTCTTTGTGCTGCAGCAAAGATCAATAAACAATTTTAACTTTATCTTTTTAGCACCAAGAAGCTAAAACTAGCTAAAAAAAAAACTAACCCAGCCACCAGTTCAATTAAACTTTAATTAAACCAATCAAAACCTTCTGAGTGCCGATTTAGTCTTTCATCTAATTTAAGACAAGAAAACACTAGAAATGTCAAACTTCAACATTAAGTAGTTGGATTTGCATTGGAATGGCACAAACTTTCGCTTTTCTCCCCTCCTTGCTTCAACACAGTTAATCTTTTAATGTCACCAGGTTTTGTAAATTCTGGTCTAAAACTTGTCTCCCAGTTTGGCTGCTGGTGCAGATTTGTTTAATTCTGTGTCAACATCTTAAGATGGTGATGATATGACATCTGTTTGAGATGATGTGACTTCTGTACTTAAATTGTGTCCATGAACAAAACTGAGGGAGTATCTAACTTCTACTGATCAAGATGTTTAAAGGCGGCTCTGAGAACTGAAACTGGTTATTTTATAAAACAAGCACACAAAAATAAAACGGCCAATCAGATTTCTAACAGGCTCCTAATATGTCCAGCTGATTTTATTGAGGGAGGTTGGAAGCTCAAAAAGAAAAAAATATTCTGATATATTTAGCTACTGAAATATCACTCCCCATATAGAGTTTAAATAAAGCACAGACATTGTACCCATTTATGAACCATGATACTTTCCTTTCCAAATAGCCACCTTTTGTGCTTTTTTCATTTTGAAGACCTCATTAATAATAAAAATAGTTAACTGTGAGCCTTCCTCGATTTGTAGCAACTTCCTCCTTAAAGAGCACTGCAAAAAAATAAAATAAAATAAATAAATTATAATTTTACCAAGTATTTTTGGTCTAGTGTTTAGTACAAATATCTTTGTACAATATTGATGAACCAGGGTAACTGTTCAGATCTCGCCAGACTCCCGTTGGAGTCTGGCAGATTTTTTCAGATTATTTCACTTATAATATCTTGTTTATAAGTGAAATAATCTGCCAGTGGAACCAGTAAACTTTATTAATTTCAAATAATAATTTACTTAAAACAAGCTCTTATGTCTTGCTGAAAAGTTGTTAGTTGTATCTTTCTTCAAGTGTAATAAAAAAAACTTGTGCTATAAACTAGACCAACAGTACGGTGTAAGATTCAGTGTTTTTTGCCGTGAGTGTAGCTGAGACATTGGTAGCACTTTGAAATGGTGCGTTCTTTGACTGAAAAAAATAGAAAAGATCAGGTTGAATTTCAGGAGCAGTTGAGCTGAAATCTGGTGAATTTCTTTTTGCGCGCGTGTGTGTGTGTTTCAGTGCAACTTTTATTTGCAATCTGCAGTTTCTATAATTTACAAGTCTGCCATTTCATCTTTCTGAGAGTTAGATGACAGGATGTACAACTCCAATCTGAAAAGGCACACCCGAAGCCAAAGCAGCTGTTAGTTTACAGGACAGATTTTTTTTTTTTTTTTTTGTAATTATTTTGCTCATTTTTGATCTCATTGGATCTATAACTAAAATAGTCAATGACACGCTCAACTAAAAATGGATCAACTTAGAGAAATAGCAGAAAAATAAAGTAAGTTCAACTGTAATCTGGGTCTGGAACAATTTTGAGCTTCTGAGATGCAAGTTAAAAGGGAAAATATTATATATATATATGCTTTTTAATCCAGACCTGCTGTTTACTGTTATTCTAATCTCAGTTAGCCTGCTGTAGGTTTTGGTTCATGTTTATTTTACAGACACGATTGGCATAAAATCTCGTCGTCCAGTTGTTTCTGAGGAAATGGAACGAACACATTTTAAAGTCCCCTGTCTTTCCAGCAGTTTCCATCAGTGCCACAACATATTTTTGTACAGCTGGTTCACTGAAACACCAGGTATCTGAGCTGAATGTATATTTTTTATTTTTATTTTTTTGTCTTTAGCCGATTTCCTGTAAGGAATCCTCCCAAGTGATCATATATCATGTCTGTCTCCGGTATTGATCTCATGCTGTTGCAGACGTGTCGCGCTTTTCCCCATGCTGGTAGATAATTGAATGTTCCTGGCTTGTCGAGAACGTCGTCATACCCGGGTTGAAAATCTGAAAACTTGCCCTTAAAACCCCTTATGCCTTCAGATGAAAAATGAAAAATTTTAAATATGTATTTGTTTATAAGAAAAAAAACTTAATCACTGAGCATGTTGTTTATAAGGAATGTTTTTGATTGAATTTAAATCTATTTTTATTGTTTTTGTGCAGACTGCTTTGGCCCTCTGACATCTTGTTTTAACATTAGTGATGAACAGTCATGACATTTTTTTTTTTTTTTTAAAGAAAATTATAAAAAAAAGAAGAAGAAAAAAGAGCGCCTTCATCTGCAGCGTTGGGGATTGTGAAGCTCAGTGCCTTTTATTATGTACTCTTAATCAGTCTATAATTTTAATATAAAATTTTGTCATAAGTCACTCCTGGTGCGTGTTTTTTTTTTTTTTTTTTTTTTTTTTTTTTTTTTTCCAAAAGCCACAGTGTTGCTCTTTCTCCCTTCTGTTCAGATCAACCCTGTGCTGTAAATATGTACATTATCATTTCATACGTGTTGTCAGACCTGCACCACATTGTCCATGGTGTTTCTGTTTCTTTTTTTTTTTTGGTTTGTTTGTTTTGTTTTTTTTGTTTTGTTTTGTTTTTTTCCAATGCCAAGATGTCCCTGTGCTGGTTTCACTTGTACATTTCTTAAAAAGGTACTTCATAATAAAGATGTTGAATAAACTTTTTCTGTCTATTTCAAATTTGTGGGACTAAAAATTTATCATTTATGTTCAAATGGATTAGAACTACTTCTAGAAATCATAACTTTTCCATGTTGAAAATGGAAAAAGGAGCAAAATATTTATTTCTGCTGCAGGTGAATTCTTCAGCTAAATAATCCTGTCATTAAGATCAGCACTACAGGGTTGGTACTCCATGTACATCACATCAAATATATACGTGTTTTTGGTAAGTTTATTTTAATGATTGAAAAAGTTCATTTCATAGTAAGTAAGATAGAATAATGTTCAGGGAGTCGTTTTTAGCTCTGAAATGGGGAGAGAAAGCTGGTCGGCCCCTTCAGAGTCCCCGAAGGTGTGAAAATGACCTCAGCAAAGTATATGGACTTTCTGACTGACCACTTTTTCATGGTTCAAAAAGAAGAGCCATACCTTCAATAGCAAAATCATCTTCATGCATGACAATGCACCATCTCATGCTGCAAGGAATGCCACTGTGTCATTTGGCTGCTATGGGCATAAAAGGGGTGAAACTCATGGTGTGGTTACCATCCTCCTCTGACCTCTGACCTTAGTGAGAACCTTAAGAGTTTCATCAAGCAGAAGATCTGAAGGTGGGATACAGTTCATATCAAAACAGCAGCTCTGGGAAGGTTTTCTGACATCCTGCTAAGAAATTCTAGCAGAAACTCCACAAACTCACAAGTTCAATGGATGTAAGTGATAGATGATATCAAAGAAGGTTCTATGTTAACATGTAACTCTGTTAGGGTGTTTTTGAATGAAATAGCTTTTGATTTTAGTACATGTGACCACTAAATGCTGCAGATTCAAAGAATGACCGTTTGCAGTTCTTTACAATCCATAAAATGTTTAGAAAATCTGCCGAGCATAATAATTTGAAACAGTGCATTTTGAAGTTTTATTAGTTTTGAAAAGGATATTGTCCTCCTGGTTTATACTGTAATAGTTTATGACTTGAAAACTATATTGACCATCATTTGCATTGACCATTTAAGAAAATCTGAGAAAATATCACTTGCATAATAATTTGGAACATGGTGTATGCGGCTAATGAACATACTGTTCTTTAAGCACACATTTCTGTGGTATTTGGATCTGATATTATATTCAAATTTTAAATGCTTTTCTTAGCTCTAAGCATAAATTTCATTTCATGAATGAATTATAATCCTTTGTGTCATGATTTTTTTTCTGACAGAGTGAATTGGAGGTTTTTCCAATTTTTTTATTTTTATTTTCTTAAGGCATAAAAAAGGCTGGAAGAAAAATTTTGGAAGAAAATAAAACAAAGTATACATATTTTTTTTATTTTTTTAGGTGATTAATTGTAATTTTCTCCAAATGCAAATTGTTATTTGAATAATAGAATAGTAGGAGGAACAGGGTCGGTAGGCATGCTTTTGTTTTGTCTGTCGGTCATATTGGATTTAACAAAAAAATGGCCAGAAGTTGATAGTGTATTGAAAGGGTTAACAGGAATGAATGCCTGGAAGCATCAGTCTGTGTATTATACATTTATTTTGCTTATTGAGTTGAGTTACTGAAACAAATGATTTGGGCCTGTTAAATATAATTCTAAAGAATTGGATGAGGATGTATAGAATTGGAAAATAGAATAGTTACACAAATTAATAACAAAATAAATAGTCGCAATATGAAAGGGAAAAAAAATGTGTGTAAGACGAGCAAAATCCTCGCGTTGGCCTCCAGACCACTGGGCTTCGTGAAACCGCTGCTTTTTAAAGTGTCCTCGAGCGCCGCCTTGAGACGAGGTTCATTCATACATACGTACGTGCGTAAGGTCAAAGTTGAATCATGACGTAAACAAACATTAGCTGGAGTCTGCAATCTGGTTGCTCCAGATGCGGTACCGTATTGTCAGGCATACTTTAATGAAAAAAAGTTATTGTTTTCTTGATTAACAGCAAGAAATAAGAAGAAGAATCAAACGGAAGGGAGCCGAACGGGTTCAAAGGTTCGGTTCGATTCGGTTTGCTCGCGTGGCGGCGTGTAGCATGCAGGGCTAGCTCAGCTATGGATGCGCTCAGCGTCGTTGTGGATGAAGTGGCTTTGGAGGGACTGGACGGAATAACCCTCCCGACTCTATGGATAAGACTGGAGGACAGAGAGCCCAAGTTTCCCTTGAAGCTGGACGGCTGCACCAAGGGTTTCATCTGGAGGTCTCTGGTTAGCAACGCCGACCTGAGCTTCTACGAGCTGCCCGAGGAGAGAGAGGACGTCGAGCTGTTTGATAGGTGCTCGTTTATCCAGCATGTTCTCTGTTTAACTCGCACAAATCAGTCTATGCAGTAAAATGCATGCCTAAAGATGACGTCATCACCATCGCGTTCCAATACATGGAGACGCATGGTGTTTTGTGCTTTTCTTTATACATTTTATTATTAAAGGTTTAAGCCTAACATAAACCTTAAAGTGGTTTTCCCTTTGATATCTTGTATTTTTTGTTTTGTTTTAGGTTTAAGGACATCGACCCAGAGACGGGCTGTGAAACACAGAAACAGAAATTCTCTCATGAGAGAAGAGACGTATATCCTCTTCATGTCATTCCTGAGAATAAGGATGGCATCCAAGGCTCGTGTGTCTTCTTTAAAGAGAGGAAGAACGTCACGAAGCAAATCCGCTCCAAGTCCTTCGCTCCTCTGGTTAATCTAGAGGAGGCTCAGGAAAGGTCGGTGCATTTTAATAGCAATTCATGATGATAATGATGAGGAACATGCCCTAAGGCAGAGACAATTGCCAGTAAATGTGGTTGCTCATGTTGAGCCTGCTTCAACTGGAGGTCTCTTTTTGTCAAAGCGGAGATGTTCCCTTTCACTGTCACCACATGCTTGCTCTGAGAGGGTTCCTGCACAGTCAGTGATTCAATGAACTTGCCTAGGCTTCCTTACATCGATAACTGTTTACCAATGAGCTTTCAACCTGTTTGGTCACTTAAAGCTGAATACATGTCTCTTACTTCACCCTCTAGATATGGACGAAAGCTCGTGGTCGTGGCTTCCCAGGCTCTGCGCTTCCGAACCCTGATCGGAAGCGACAGCGATCCCGAGTCAAAAATCAGCAACGACTCGTACTGCGTGCTTGAGAGAGTTGGCCGGGGCCGTTGGCAAGGAGAGCTGCAGAGCGATCTGCATGGGAGTCTGTTCAAGTAGGAGACTCTCGAGATGTCCTTCGCTTCAGTCTGCTGTTACAGTAGCTGCGTTTCCATTGCAAATGTGCGCAAATCTTTGTTTTCTGCTAATGCCCAAAAAAGATAATTTCACAATTGCGGCGTTTTCATTAAGAAATAAAATGAATACGGTTGTTCACATGAGGAGTTATTGAACATTAAGGCAGTGACAGATGTAAACAGTTACATAATACATATTCATAATTCAGCCAAACAGAGGAGACTTTGGGGTCTTATTCAGACGTTGGAACGACACGCACCTTATTCTTGAGAGCGGCTACACATGTTTTGGGGGAATTGTAGTCAGTCATTTTACGAAAGAGCTATGGCTTCAACACGTTGGAATGACTCACAGCTTTTTATGAACTATGTGATGCTGTGAGAGCTCTGATGCAGCCGGCTGCAGATTGTCTGAAACAATCCGCAGTTCTTCTTCAATGTTTTCGTCATTAGCAACATCCGGCTAATAAAGAATGAAGTGTCTCTATTCCAGTTTTGCAAAAATATTCTATTTCGAAAACCCCACCTCATCCTAGCGGGGGAAAACCTTTAATCAAAACAGTTTTTGCAAAATTGGCGTGCTTGCTTTAAGCAATTTCATGGTTGATGGAAACGCAGCTAATTGTTATTTTAATGCTCACACTGACACAAGCTGTTGATTCTGTGCAGGATAGATGCTCGAAAAATGCACTACTTGAGGAAGTGTCTTGTCAAGCATGAACTGATCACCATGCAGTCTTACGTCAGACGGCTGAAGACGGGACAGCAGCAGCACTCCATTCTGCTCCTGCTTAAGCGTTTCCATGTTAACAGGTCTGTTTTGTTTTTCAGCACATTTAGTCAACTCTTATAAATAAATTTAAAGCGTGTGAATCGTAAGATGCCGATTTACGAACCCCTGTAGTGTCAATATAATTACATTTATATATTTGATACAGTCAATATTAGTATAGACCAAGAATGGTCAATACTTTAAGCTTCTGGAAGCTTAAAACAACAGGAGCAACTGTGACTATGTATATTTAAAGTATGTAGTCTGGATTAATAAACCAACTAAACAAAGACAGAATAACAGAAAAGGTTTTGTTGGTGTGTATGTTGTTTTTATCCATTTCTACAATTGTTTTCATGCTTTCCAAAAGCAAAAAAACATCAAAATAAATTTAGAAATTCCACTTAAAAAAAAAAGTCTCAAAGAAAATATATATCTTTTGTAAATAACCTGTGTTGTGATCCTGTCTCATTTCATTTTCTTGTGGTTCACCTCCTTCTTTCTGCTCTCTCAGGCGGAACAAATACGACATCCTGATGGAGCACGTGTCCGACTTTCTGCTGCAGCTGCCTGATCACTTCACCACTGTGGACAATCTCAAAGAGCACCTTGTGAGCGTCTCGAGTGTGTGACTGCTCACGTTTCTTCTTGTTCGCTTTGCCATTATGTTCCTCCGTTTTCTTCTTTCAGAATTTGAACGAGAAGACCTTGAAGCGTCTGTTCAAAAACCTCCGATATAGCAAGCTGGTGGAGTTTTGTCAGTACGCTTTAGAAGACTTGGATCCCAGTGCTGAACATTGCACCAATAAAAATGGTAAACGGGATTTATTTCATACGTGACCACCACAATGAGGGATTATTTTAGTAATTGTTTTAATCGGAGTTTTTGGTTTAGCGCCTGATGAGTGATCATTCCTGTCTGCTTCTGCTCCAGGCAGTAAAGTCCTTATTCGCTGCATAAAACTCTTGAAGCCGTACGGAAAAAAAACTCCTGCAGATTTTGACGACGACGATGAGGATGATGACGACTACACTGAAGGAGGAGGAAGAGTTCTCCCGTCTGAGGGACGAATCATGGAGAGGGATATCATGTCGCAGGC